TTTTTATCCCATTGAATTTTTATCAAATAAGGTTTTAACGAGATATATATTTTGTAATATGTCATTCAAGTGGGAGTGTTGTAAATGGTAAGTTTATTAGTGAATGACAATTTTATCCATTGAACCCTAGAAATTATTACCATTATATCCCTAATATTTCCCTATAAAAATAGAATTTTTGTTCTTATTATAATACACACAAATTTTTTGACTTCAATTCTCTCATTCTCTCTCTTTTCACAGCATTTTGAACATTTTTATAAAACCCTAATATTCATAAGATATCATATTCAACTAAAATCAAAACAACAATGGAAGAGATACAATTAGAGCAAATTCATATAGACATGGCAATATATGAAAAAGAATTTGAAAAAGTGAAAATTGACTTTTATTGTAGGATTGATGAATTTAATATGTGAATGATTCTTTTCTGCTAGGATGATCAAAATAAGAATTTGAGTTTTATGCTGAGATTATCTTCTTCTCTTTTTCTTGAATTCAAAACAATGGTGGCTAATCTGATGGGATTATTAAAACAACTAAAGAAATTTGACAATAAATATTGATGACAATGATTGAAAATATGAAAGAATTATGAAGGAATAGTACACACACACACGGTAGTTTCCTTTTCTTTTACACTACGATGACGATATCACTAGTGCATAACAAAGAAATCATCTTTGCCTCAACCAAGATGTGAATTCTATTCTTCGTCTTTGACGCAGAATTTTGCATAGTAAGCACACCACGAATCCCTCATTATGCCTTTTTTTTGTTTTTCATTGAAAAATAATAATAATAACCAACTAGCAGAATGGCTACACAGATATGGAAACAAGATATGACAGCTCTCCCCGTCCTCCGCCCTATTTGGGATTTTTTGGAGGCAGGATTAAAATATCCCTATTTATCGTCTCACTTACTTATTTTTTATATTTTAAATACAATCTAAATTTTAAAACATAAAAATAAGATTCAGAGCGAGTTCAATGTGTGAACAATGTTCTCCATCAAGTCCCATCCCCGATCCCCCAACTAACTGAGGATTACGGTCAGACGGGAAGGGAGTATTTTGCCATCCCTATGGCTGCATAGCACAATCCCTGAAAGAAACTGTCCAAAATCAGGTCATTGTGACGACAAGGACTAATTCTGAACAAACCATATGGGAAAAAAAACAGCCAACAAAGACAGATTTATAAGAGCCACAGAGATAAGATACAAAGATAAAGTTTCAGAAAATTCCATTTCCACAGAAATTGAATATTTAAAATTTCATTTTCCACATCTTCCAATTACTTTATTATAGTTCACCTCATATTACTCGACATTTATCCATACACTATTTTCTTCTGCTATATATTGACTAATTTATAGTATCTTCCCTTTTAGTTTTAAGCACAAACTCCCCACACATTCTAGCAATTAGGAAGTCATTCTAAAACAAACATGCAGAGTGCAGAAGCTAAACAACGCATTGCAAGAATTTCAGCTCATCTTCACCCTTCAAATCACCAGGTTTGTGGTTATTGCACGTACGCAATACGAGTATGTACTCGACTATAGAATAAACAAGATTTTAACCTATTTTTGTGTTTAACACTGTTGAGTACAATTTAATTCACCTTACCATACGAGCAACGTAAGGATTAATATTGCATTTACATGCTTTTTTTTTATACAACAACCAGCTAAGTCTTGTTTTCAATAAATTCAGAGTCCACTACTTCAATTATTCTCTTACTCAGTTCTTGATACTGCTGATATGTTCATTTAATTTCTTCAGTCGAGTGTCATTGGTTCAGTGTTATCAATCTGATTTTAGCTTATTTTTCTTTCTTATTACTGTCTAATGTCATCTAATCCGCCTTTTGGAACATGCCAAGACGGATCATTGCTACATGACATGCTTTTTTAGATTGTTTCCAATAATTTCAGAGTCGATTGCATGAATTTTATTTGGCACTAGGAACCTATGGGCAAGGCATTTTCGGGGAGTAGCCTCCCTGCCTTTCTTTCTTCGATCAGAATACGGATGAGATGAAAAAGGCCACCATTAGGCAATTTACTTTATACCTACTATTGCCGGTTCGGGTATTTAATGGACGTGTCACTCCTTGAACGCATGAAGAAAGCCTCTACTCAGTTCTTGATACTGCTAATATGCTTATTAAATTTCTATCAGCCAAGTTACTGGATTAGCTTATAAATCTGTATATTTTCAATGATTTACTATTAACTTTTCATGTACCAAAAGCTGGAGGAGAAATCCATTTTGAAACGAGCTGAATGCAGAGCAAAAGGCGGTGCACCTGGTTTCAAAGTTGCCATATTGGGAGCCGCCGGAGGAATTGGCCAACCCCTCTCCTTGTTGATGAAGATGAATCCATTAGTCTCTGTTCTTCATCTTTATGATGTCGTTAACACCCCCGGAGTCACTGCTGATATCAGCCATATGGATACTGGTGCTGTGGTAAGCATATGTACGTTAAATGGAATACATGGAATCTAATAATCTTATATACTCATCTCATCGACTGCAAATAGACCTAATATTCCCGGTATATAAAGATTTTTTTTAGGGTCCCTTTTCTGTGTGTGAGATATGTGAGAAAACCCCTGGTACTCTTTTTTTTTCTGTAATAGCAGAAAAGCGCAGAAGCAAGTTGACTTAACTTTCATAATGAGATGAACCACTATAAATTTGTGCATTGACTTTGCTCGTTTACATCTATTTGGTTTTTATTGCTCTCGTGAATAGGATTAGGGCTTCACATTTCCTTTTTGCAGAAGGGTAACAGTATTTTGTTTTTGAGTTATAGGTGAAAGGTTTTCTTGGACAACAGCAACTGGAGAATGCTCTTATGGGGATGGACCTCATCATCATACCTGCCGGCATTCCAAGGAAGCCAGGAATGACCAGAGACGACCTTTTCAACATCAATGCTGGAATTGTGAAAACCCTTTGCGAAGGAATTGCAAAGTGTTGTCCTAATGCAATTGTCAACTTGATCAGTAATCCAGTGAATTCGACAGTTCCAATTGCAGCAGAAGTTTTCAAGAAAGCAGGAACTTATGATCCAAAGAAGCTCTTGGGAGTTACCATGCTTGATGTCGTGAGAGCCAACACTTTTGTGGTATGTATTTATTGGACTCAGTAAGTATAGTTTGACCCTTATGTCTTATTTAGTATACTGAATTTGACTGCATTTAACATGATTAAAGAAAAAAATTCTGTGTTGTGATGTCCAACGGCGTTTACCAAACATGCCTGAAATTCAAATAAATCCGGATAAATGATAAGTTTCCAAGTATTATGTGAATGAGCAGACCACACCATTTGCTGCAAAACTTAACTTTTCAACTTTCCAAGTTAAACTGCTATTCAGTTTCATCCGTAATGTTATAACCACGAATTCTTCCAAAATGATGAGAAATCACGGTTCCTACAACCATTTTAGTCAAAGATCAGAGCAAAACTTCAGCAAAAAAAGCTGGAATTATACTGATGCTGTGCCATTTATAAAATCTTCGGTCAGATTGGACTGTAGTTTTTGGAACTGAACAGATAATTGTCTCTCTTGCATTGATATCTTTACAGGCAGAAGTTTTGGGAGTTGATCCTAGAGAAGTTGATGTTCCTGTTGTTGGGGGTCACGCAGGAGTGACAATTTTGCCTCTTCTCTCACAGGTTTGAGAACGTTTTATAGTATTCCCCCCCTCAACCAACCCCTCAATCGTTACTTATGATGGATTTAAACCAAAGCAAACATGGTGCTATGCAGGTTAAGCCTCCTTGTTCGTTTACAGCAGAGGAAACCGAATACCTGACAAAGCGCATTCAAGATGGTGGAACTGAAGTTGTTCAGGTATAACCCATTGTCAACTAGCAGAAAAAACATACTTGACTGTGCAAAGTAGATTCAACTTACCTTTTAAAGTTATTTTGCCAACATGATATTCAAAGTTACTTCTTTACTAACAAAACTAACTTTTCTAGAAAGTAAGTCTTATTGAACACAACCAAACACACTACTAAAGCAGCAGGCGTTGAAATTCATAAATTTCTTAGTTCAAATTCTGACAAGATAGTAAACTGTCGTCTTCGCAGGCAAAAGCAGGTGCTGGTTCTGCAACGCTATCAATGGTTAGCTATTTCTATCATTATGTAATTTTAGCAGAACACATCGAAGTCTCTAACTATGGCAAATTAACACATAATAAAAACTAAATTACCTTACTAGGCATATGCAGCAGTAAAATTTGCAGATGCGTGCCTCCGCGGATTAAAAGGAGATGCTGGCATTGTTGAATGTGCTTTTGTATCTTCTCAGGTACATTGCAAGGCCTTTATTTTGCTAAATTTTTGCCCTGATTTTTCTGCATTATGTGCTGATGTATTGAAGAATTGTCGCTTGCAGGTCACAGAACTCCCCTTCTTTGCCTGTAAGGCACGGCTTGGCCGTGCAGGAGCGGAAGAGATCTACCAACTTGGGCCTTTGAATGAGTATGAGAGGTATAATACCGTACAAAAAAAATGTGTATACTACTATCAAAGAGCAGATATTTAATTAGTGACCTCTGAAATTGTCGACAGGGTCGGACTGGAGAAAGCAAAGAAAGAGTTAGCAGAAAGCATTCAGAAGGGAATCTCATTTATCAGGAAATAAAGAATTTAGGCAGCTCTTTAACTCTTTTAAAGCCTTAGTGTGTTTTGATGTCCTGATAATTGTTCTGAAAATTTCTATGAGAATATGCCTGAATCAATTGAAACGGGTTTTTTTTTTTCACATATCATGCCTGATAAAAAAAAGGATAAAATCAACGCTAAGTCATTTAACCAAATTGTCATTATAATATCATAATACGAGTTTTTTACACTGTCAAATATCTTGATTGCTTTACTGTTCTAGTATGCAAGCAGAAAAACTAAAAAGAAAAGAAAATATTTACACTTAGCCCTATTTCAACAAAACTATATCTCCCACAGGAGTTCACAGCAAAAAGGGGTTTGGAGGTGGGTGAACAATAGGCATCCTCGACATTGTCACGTTTCCCATGAGCACATTTGGTGCCACAACATCCTCCCCCATCACGGGATCAACATGTACCACTCTCTCTGGAACAACCTTGTCCCCATCTACCTTAGCCAAGACTTCAAAATGCGTTCTCAATGTCTCGGGCTTCGTCCTCCACTCTGGGAAACTCTCCCAAATTCCATCTCCTTCTTTTAACTTCTTCTCTACTCCAAAACTCATCTTTATAAAAGTCTGAGCTGAAACATCTGCCTTCAACAGCTTGAAAGTACCATCCTTATTTGCTTTGGGACCAAGAACAGAAGAGAGCAGTGCCTCAAAACCAAGCAAGTTAGAATTAGAACCATTGACAGACACAAGAGGCCACAAGTTGGTGAATCTATCAGGCGTGAGAAGAGCAGTGGCTTCTTCTTGAAGATCAATGGTGGAGACGGCATCAGCTTTCATCTTCCTCTCTGAGGCCGAGGATAGCTCCACAAGTCCAGGTGCAAGGCGCTTAAGCTTAAGTTTGTTGCTAGACGAGGGTGATGACGAGGTAGGGGATGTGAGAGATGTTGGTCCGACGATGCGAAGGGAAAGGAGGGGCCCACTAGGCGAGCCAGAAGAATGGCGAAGATGCTCTGCCAGAGTTAAAAGACCTGAGGCAAAGTTGTTATTCGAGTGATTAAATGGAAGTGGAAGCTCAACTGGATGACGTAGGCTGACTGATCTGGCACCCTTAACAGTAACCACAGCACCATCTGCTAAAATCACTTTCTTTAGTATGCCGGCATCTACATCATGCTGCATGTCATTTGATATCAATATTAATTAAATTGAAGCAAAACATAGTAGTACTGTGCAATCCCTCTAGCTAAATGGAACATGTGAACAAATTAAAGATTCCCAAAAAAACAGAATCTCACACCACTATCCTTAATATAACGAACTACCTGCAGTGCACTATCATTGAAATTTAAGACAACAAAAAATAAAAAATCCTGTTGCAAATAAAGTAAATCAATCGAACGCCTAAAAACTCTCTCACTAAAAACAGAGATTACAAGACTCTCCCTCAAAACCAATTACCACCCGACAGACAAAATTAATATTAATGCATTTTTGATTCCAGCTGACAACAATAATAGGAAGTTGGTTTTCTTCAGACAAGGCTGCTTTCACTAAAGTCAGAAAGCACAAAGCTCGACAATAAGCTTTTGCAGACACAGCAGCACAAACTAGCAATGCGTGAGGCTTTTTCCACTGTGCTATACCTTGACACAAACTCCTCCAATGAGTGTATAGCTAAGTCTAGAAGCATTTTTCAGTACATAATACCTCCTTTTCTTGACTAGAAAGTGAAAATATATGTAACTAGCATATTAATCTTCAATCAACTCACAAACACTAGGCCTGTAATTGGTTCATTAAATGTCACTATATGCATCCGAAAAGTATGATTAAAAAATACAATAAGTGCATGTGTACACGGTAATACATGACTCTTGAGATATTAGAATGGACAAGAATTTAGCTTATATTTAGTTCTTTTTCACCTAATAGTATTGATTTCTATCCAATTACTCATTACAATTTATGCCATAAACATTGAAAACATACAATACTAAGAAGATAAACAGATCATTGCAACTTGAACTTACCGGCAGTGAGATCCTCATATCCTTGGCATCCTGAATCCACAATTCCATCGGACCAGCCAACTGGAACGGCGCCAAGACAGGAATCTGATGGTCCAGTCGCCTCCTTTCCACCAATCCATTTTCCTCATGTGAACTCTCTGCATCCTCCACTCGAAAAATGGGCAAATCTACATACTCCCATCGGTTCACATCCTCCAAAAGCTTAAGTGGAAGAACTTTATTATCAATTTGAACATCAAATTCATATGCTACAGATTTACCCACTAAGGCGTCCCTCAAATCGAACCCGAATATCTTAATATCCTCTGTTTGTAATCCAAATCCCTTCACAATTGCCTCCTTCAAATCCTATTACAATCATCAAAACAGTAAACACCAAAATTACAAACCCCCAATTTTTTTTAAAAAAGCAATCGAATTATTCACAATTCCATCCGTCCGAGGTTCAAAAAAGCAATCGAATTCCTACTTCGGTGTGAAGGGCAAAACCCCACCTTGATTGAATATGAAAACAATAAAAACAACATACTATTCACCTTAAAAAAATAAAAAAAAATTGAAAAAAATGCGCTAATGAAATTTGTGCTTACAGAGATGGCTTTAGGGAAAGGAGGATTGACGTCATGCCCAGTAATCAAAGCTGTGGATAATGAAAAATGAATCGAAATCAGAACCAACAAAAAAGCTGCAACAGAATTTAGCAACCTCAATCTCACAGCCATCTGTGAATTTTACAGGAGAAAATAAAAGAAATCGAGGGCTATTATTATTATCCAATCCTCCTCTTTCTGCAAAGTTGTAAGAGAATTCGGAGAGATTTTTCATGCTCCTTGAATGGGATTTTGGATGTATTTATAGGGGTCTAGAAGGTGATGACGTGGAGACAGTCGACCAATGGGTGTAGAGGAAGTGATGCAATGGGAGAATTCAGTTGGATAAATTAATATTTTCTGACGTGTCTTTAAATTCCGTGTTTCGTGCAATAATTTCTTATTCGAGGAGACAGCAACGACGTCGTGTGTTCCTTGTTTTCTTTTTTTTTTTTTGGAAAAATTCATATATAAGCTCTACCCTACATACTATTTCAAAAATAAGAAAACAATTTTAAAATTTCTAAAATCAAATATTTTAACATATACATACACATATATTTATATACTAGGTTTAAGCAATGTGCAAT